GCATACGATATAAAGTACCTATAGTTATTTTTTTTTACATATACTTACGTAAAATCTGCCTGTGATGTGCTGGATGTGATTTGTCTACGAAGTGGCACTCGGAGTTGCTGTCAAATGAGTTGAGTTTGCTGCCTTATTCTGCGGAGGATCGATGGTGGATCGTCAGTGGATCGCCAGTGGATCGCCGGAGGATCGCCGGAGAATCGCCGGGGGATAAAGGTTGCGCTTTTTGGCTTGTGCCATGTGTGCGAGTACCGGCGTACCGCCTGTTTGCCATAGAGCTAAGCTAGCTAGCCCGCTTATTTAATGTAATGCCGCCAAACTAGACCAAACCAACAAGAGCGTAAACTTAAGCTTCAGGTGTAATAATCTACTACTACCTATTTTGTATCTACCTAGCCCTGTACCTACTATAATTACCAACTACCTATTACCATTTGCTCCGTCGTGTTGTGTATAGATTTGTACATTTGTTTTCACTTAGTGTGCGCGTCGCGTCGATCGATATTATGACCATACTATGTTACCACTACTACTACGACTATTACTCTAAACGATTGTGTATTATTTTATTAAATAGTTTATATAGGCTAGTTACGTTTTATCGATAGACTTTAGACCACGTTTAGTCAGCGAAATGTTGGCTTTAGCTGCCTGCGCATGCAGCTTCCATTCGCCCTTTCGGCCATCGAAGTCTCGAAATAACCAAGCGATTCCATCGGCTCTGTCCGAAGCAGCATAGCAATTGTACGCTGTGCAGTTAAAGTTATTAGCATTTATTTTATTTTATTGTATTGTATTTTTTTTAGATGTGCATCTACACAAGATCAATAAATTTATATTGAACAAAACAAAACATGAACAAAGACATAACCTCGTTTCATTAGCTTGGTTGGGTCTGCGGTTGCAGCTTTTCTTTCAGCGGTGCGAAAACCTGACGAATGGCGAGATTTCTGAATTTCAGATACCAGGCTATCAGAATCGATCAGCAGGTGTAAGACAATCAGCTGATCGCTGTAATTAACGCCTGCTTAGGGGTGGGCCATTCAAATAATACTCGGAGCTTTCGTGTCTATCGCGTTAAATTCGTGACACGACCACAAGAACAGCACGATTGCCCATCTCTAGGCGATCAGCTGTTTCAAACGAACGGTTGCGATCCATCAAGCTTGCTTCCTATTGGTCGAATGTCAGTCATATTGAAAAAGGAACAGCTGCTTAGATTTACTCGGAGCTATCGACGGGCACCTGCTACTGTTTCTGTTTGCCTGGTGGCTAGTATCGGCAAAGTGGCAATTTGGCCGAAAAAATTGGTTGTGGCGTTCAAATAATGAAGCAAATTGGTGATTTTTCAATTTCAAGTACCCGGCGCACAGGAATTGCAGTAGGTGACCAGCGATCCTCAACGGTTGTTTTCCATTAAGCTGCAGCCATTAATGCCGAAGCCCAAAAGTATGCAACACTTTTTAATGATTATTAACGACATCCTAAAAGTATGCAACGGAGATATTGTAAGCTTCAAGAATGTGTGAATATAATGCTGCATACTTTCAGGCTGAGTCAAAGCTCTAATAAAAACTCTTTTTTGTTCAATAAAATACTTTATTACATGCATTGTTTACAGGTATGTATTAAATCTTAATGGTAAGTACAGATATTTATGGTAAATACAGATGAATTTTTACACAGCAGACGACCAATTCATTCATTCGGGGTGGCAGCACCTGAAAATAAAAGAATGAATGTATTAGTTGAAAGTTCAAAATTTAAATACGACCTATAGAAGGTTAAAACTAAATAAAATTATTCGGTGATTTTTCAGTATTTCGAAATATAATGAAGTGTACAATATTAATCAAGGTAACAGTGAACGTGTGAAAATAACTGATGGACATGCTGATCTTAAGATCCACGTTTTAAGCGCACAGCGCGGCTGTCTCCTTAACCAGATGGATAGTAAATAAATAAAATACTTTTTTAATTGTGATCCGATTTCGATGGGATTTTGAAATTTCCCAGCACCATTACTAGAGCAGTGGAAACGAAGACAGACAGTCGGGCATTTGAGCCATTTTAATGGGCTGAGCAGGCCAAATACAGCGAAAATCATTGGAGCAATTATAAGGCATCTAAATGTTGGTCCGATGACGAAGAGGAGTAGCAGTTGCAACATACATGCTGCCTTGCTGCTTCCAGGAAGAGGAAGACGAGGATCGGAATAGCTAGATCATCATGATCACTATACATACATATGTTGCTGATCGGTGATCGTGTATGTCAGTGCGAGTCGGCATTCGTTTTAAACAAATAAAGTCCGCGACTAATTGCATTTGCACTTGTTGTGCGATATTTCTTTGCTGGAAATTACACACGGCCACAGTGGATGGAATACGAAAGAGTTTGGATCTGCGTTCTCTTCGGTTAAAGATGGGTACTGAGCACAGTTTAAGACACGTCATTTGTCATTTATCCTTCGTGGCCTTTTAGCGTTTGGCTTAATTGACTTCTTCTCCATCATCGTAGCTGCAGCGAAATACAAAAACAATGCAATGGACAAGCAAAGAAAGCACAAGGAAAAATGATTGCCATTTTTTAACATAATGTTATGTTATTAATTTTTTTTTAGAAAACTTTATAGAATATAAGCAATATTTTCAGGTGTACAAAAATGTCTGTTCCAAATTGTTACAGGCCATTGCCTGTCAATGAATGAATATTAATCATGTTGATATAGTTTTCGGTTTCCATACATTACATTACATTTTTCTCTGTGCAGCCGCTTTGGCTGAAGCTAAAAGCTAAGAGTCTTAGTCGGAGTTTTGGTCTCATCATCTCTTCTCCTTGTCTTATGGTCAATACCAATTGACCGTAGTGCGGAACATTTAGCTTCATTACGTCGGGCCATGTTTGCAGCCTTGGCCATCACCATCGCACTGCAGAACCGTTTTAATTAGATGTAACCATAATAAATCATAGGAGAGCCAAAATCAAATTCAGCCAGGAATGCAGCCGCATCGAAAGGGAATTTCCAGGTTGCCAACTTGGGTACTTAGGTACTAGGAAACACAGTGAAGCCTCCACAGCTTAAATGGAATGACCGCAGTCTGATTGCAAAATACCTCATACCAAAAATATACAATTGCAAGTGCAGGGAATATGCGTCTTAATCCCTGATAACTTTTGCAGTTTGCCCCCTAATCCACACTTGAGGTTCATCAAGTTGAATACAACTATGTAGAAGCTAATCCAACTTTGGGACCGTAGCCCGTCTTCATTACTCTTTTAGTTCCCATGCCAAAGAATGATGTTCAATTGACATGCAAGTTGGCAGTTTTGGACGGGCCATAAAGTTCTGGCTGGCAAATGAGGTTTGGCTGCCCACCCTCAAAGCCTGGCGGCCTATGAGAAGTGGTTCCGCGTTGTTTCGGTTCTTAGCTCCCCTCCAGCTGTCGCTGAAGCGTTCAATCCAATGGATTATTGTCTACCCTTGGCTGTCGGCTCTTCGGTTCGTTGCTGGCGCTGGCCGGGCCGATCTATTAGAGCTCTTCTAGAGCTGGATTTAACCCACATTGTGGCCATTAAAAAGCCATTCCCCATTTTGCGAGGATGGCCATTTGACAACGCCCGGTGCGAAATGCAAAATGCAAATTGCACTGGAAATTGCCACGCTTCATTCCGCCCCCTCATTTTCCATTCCATTCCATTCCCTTCCTTTTCGGCTCTCGAACGCCCCGATCCTCGCCAGCTCAGACATCACCCACTGCATTTGCCACATCTTAGATAAGTGCATTGTGCATTGCATGCAATTTGGTTGCATGTATTGCCGACACAGCCGCAACAGCAGACCCTGCAACATTGCCTCGCTCTTGGTCTTGAACTTGTGAATTTGCTAGACAACAAGCCAAAACCAGGAGAAGCAGCCACCACTGGCAGCACCAACAGCGGCAACAGCGGCAACAACTGCCAGCAGCAATCAGCGGCAAGTGAATGAGCTTAAATTGTCCCAGCCACGGTGGGCCTAATAGTCAATTTGTGGGATTAAAATCTGGCATTACTATATTAGTTATTCAATCTAGTACTTATAGCAGTACGCAACCAGGTTGGACTGCCTTTCACCACCTTTCAAGACCATGTTTTTAGTATTTCTGATCTTATTAGTATTATGTATTGCCCACTGTTCAATAGCTGCAGGGGAGTTGATTTTCGGTCGGTATTGGTGGTGGCCATGATGATGGCTTCGCTTGCTGATTCTGCAAACCATCAGCCCATCGCCCCTCTGAGCCCCTGTGCCCCTGTGCCCCCCGAGCCACTGGATGCCATGTTGCTGCCTCAACGCCCTCAGTACGCTATTATATAGTGGGTATTTATGTACTCGTATATATGCATGTGTGCTGCGGCTGCGGCTGCTGCTGCTGCTGTTGCTGCGAGTGATGTTGTTGTGTTTGTTACCATTGCCGTTGTTGCTGCTGTCTGGTCGTCTGTGGAGCATCAAGGCACTGGGGCAGCGAGGCATCAAGTTCGCAATGGGCGACATGAGATGGCCAACACACACACGTGTATGCACACCATCTATGCAACAGCGAAAAGATAGAGCGAGGAGCAACCGCAGTTACTTTTGGCTAAGACTGCATAGACAAGCCTCAATTAAGTTGCAATTGCAGTTGGTTGCCGCTGCTGTTGCTGCTGCTGCTGCTGCTTTTGTTGCTGCCGGGGAAGCGTTGGCGGCATCGGAATTCCACTCTGGAGCTGCCCACGCGCGCGCTGCTCGGCTGCCTGTTTTGCTGATAAAGTCCGAAATGATGTAGTACCCATGTGCTGGTGGCTCATTTCGTTTTTCTTTTCTTTTCTTTCGTTTCTTTCATTTCCCATTTTCCACTCCGCCAACCTGCTGCCTCCCACTAGCACTATTTTTCATTTCAGCACAGGAGCGCACTTTTACCCGCGAATTCAGTTACTCACTCAACAATTCAACATTTTAGTATTTATTTTTGTTTTGGTCAATAATTTTCTTTGGGAAATCCGTCTCCCGTTGACGTGCAGCATGTAATTGATTCCCTTTTTATTGTTGTGAATATTTGATGATTATTGTGTCGTATTCCTCCTGTTGCAACTTGCACCCATCGTTTATTTTTCCATCAATTTTTGATTAGGGCTCCTCAGTTAGCTCAGAGTTGCCAGTTTCCTGGGGGATCAAATTGGATTGACGCGGCGTGGTTGGGATTTGGACACCGCATTGTTGAGCCTTCATCTTGATCTGATCCAGTCGCCCATTGATCTCGGTGAAGATTTCTTCGCTTAAAACCTTCAACTCGGCGACCTCATAGCGAAAGTCGTTGATATGTCGAGCGATTAGGGCATGTCGCAGATATCGTCGGCTATAGCGAAAACCACTGGACATGTTGGTCTTGGTCACGAGCAGGGCCATCTTTTTGGTGAGTTTGACGGCGGCCAGAGAGCGATGTCTGCGCTGGCAATTGCTCAGATCGTTGGCACACTCCTCGGTCCAGGCCAAGTGGACGAGGTTCTGGTTTCGAATATTGGCAATCCGTTGCTCCAGACAGGTCCACGTTTGGCTCAAGCTGGTCAACATATTCCGGAGAGCATCGTAGCGGCACAGGAGTTCGGTTATTTGGCACTGGATGTGATGCTGGGCACGTTGGATGCAGCGAATCGCCGACTGCTTCGCATTCAGGCCACTACAGGAGATCTGGTCCTCTGTCGCTTCCGAGTGTTGGGTACTATTCTCCAGTTGCTGATGCCTGCGTATCTGACACTGCTGTATATCGATTCTCTGCAGTATCTGGTCCAGGCCCTGGATGATACTCAGGGTTTTCGTTTCCTCATCGGTGGTAAGGTCCTCCTCTTCCACTCCGCATGGCTGCGCCTCCATCTCATCATCCTGTGAGTCGTATTCCTCATACGCGCGCGTTGCTGCCTGTCGCTCTAAGGATGTGGCTATCCTCTGACTGGCCGCCGAAACTATCGGGGGAGTCATAATTCGACATTTGGTGGTCGTTCGCGCTATGATATCTATGTCCGCCAGATTGGACTTGTGGCAGTCGCCCAGGTCGCGAAGCAGACTCAAATCCTCGTCGAGCGAATACTCCTTTGGGTGGCCGTCTTTGGTGTCCTTCATCGTCACCTTGTCCATTTCTTGGTTAGCAGAATAATGTTCTTTCACAAAGTATTGATTTAAGGTGGAGCAGATCGTGTACAAAATGTGTGTGCGAGTTTTCAAGTATGCAACGATTGTGAGCCCACTTAACTTGGGTTTGTCAAACTGTGTATGTGGACTGAATGGGAATAGCCAACTTGTATTCTCTCCCAAAAGTTTCGCACTTTGCATCGAAACTCGCAACCGCTCCTGTCTTTTCGCCTTGGCGCTGATAAGAAAATTTATGGCTGCTCAGTTGCTCTGGCGGCATAATTGCGCACCCACATCCAAATCCGCAGAAACAGCCACTCCACATGGAGTCCGGCAGCAGAAAACGAAAAACAACGATGGATGAGTAACAAAAAACAAAGGAAAAGCAGAGAGCAGCTGGGGGGCAGAGGCTGGTGGGCTGGCTTTTGGCGTGTGGCTTCATCGGCAATTCTTCTAGTCAGCCCTCGCCCCCTTTCTTCACCCGCTTCACCGCCATCCGCTATCCACCATCCGCCATCCACCTTCCACCTTCCAGCACCATCAACTGCCGGCAGTTGACTTTGTTTACCCGCAAGTTGTAATTTTCTGCGAAAACCGTCAGCCGCAGAATTGCTTTTCTCCATCTCCATCTCACAAGCTCAGTCTTCTGTCTCTGATAAATCCCGCTTCTGTCTGTCTTCCACTCAGTCACCCAACCCTCTTCGCCCCTTTCTTCTCGGCTCCTAAGCTAACCAATTCTTCCAACTTCCAACTTCCCCTTTCTTCAATTGCAATTGGTGCCCCCGACCGCGGTCTTGCGGTGATCTTTCTTCTGGGCCTTGCCTTGCTAATTGCTTGCCAGAGATTCGGGCCTCTACTTAGGACAAAACCATTCGAAGCAGTGAACAAAATTGGGTAGCCAAGCTTCTGGTGATTTTGCAGATCACATTAGCCTAATGTAAATCTTTTAATTCGAAAGTACTGCGAGCAGTTGCTGTAGTTTTGCATTATTAAATTAACGTGTTAAGAGCTATTTCTTGATGCCAGCGAAATATCAGAATATTATGCTCAGTGCTTCCACGCAACCTCAGCGATTGACAGGCTTTTAGCCAACTTTGCTATTCCATTTGGAGCCATCTCGCCATCGAGGCATCTGTTGAATGCTGAATTGTCACATGTGGAATTTCGCAGGTCTCTAAGAAACGTTTAGGCATGTGAGCTGCGATAGGATACGAAAGCCCAAGAATGGGGTCAGACTAAGCAAATATTTGGTGAAGCCTGGCGAGCATTGGAAACATGAAATATGCACAGAACTCTTGAACATAGCTGCAAGAACTGCGAATGCGACGACGCCAAATTCCCACAACTTAAATAATAATGTGGTTTATTTCATTTCCATTTCACGAGTGCAAAAAACGAGTGAATAAGAGGCTGGCAGAGCCGAGCACTGTACCGCTAAGATGCCTAATTACATCCAAGACGAGTGATGACCGATGATGGCCATAAAAGTTCACATGATCTGCTGATCTCCCGGAGGCCTTGGTCATGCAGGAAGTTCAAGTGCGCGAGAATGGGTATACGAACAAGGGGCATACGATCCAGACATCCAGATATCCAGACATCCAGATATTCAGACATGCAGACATTCAGACATTCATATATTCCGACATGAGTTGCCCCAAGTTGACTTGACTCAACCTGGCGCGGTCAAATCTTCGCGGCTTTGGAGCTGGAGCTTCGGTAGCGAAATCAGCAGCACCAGCAGAAGACTCCGGCGAAGATAAGCGATCATAACATAATAATAATAATAAAATGAAAAAACAGCGCAGAAACAGAAACAGAAACAACTGGGAGAAAACGAGTAGCGAATAATGCAATATACATTAGATATAGAACAAGTCTGTAGAAAATTACGATTTATGTAACAAGTTGAGGAATTCAAGTGCATTTATTTCCGCATCTGGAACTAAGTGGAGAAGCCGGCGTATAAAAAATAACGCCGAACTCTGCCTGAATCGACTTGGCGATATCCTGTAGACAGAGTTTTCCCCAGATTTTCCTTATGTGCCACCCAAGTGCCTCTGTTTCGCACAATTATTAGTTGATTTCGGGCAAGTGATTTCCAGTGAGGATTGACTTTGAATTGACAGCGATTTCCCAAACTTTAGTTCCCATCCTGGTCGAATATACCTCCCTAGTCTCTAGATGCAATGAAAAGCAGCACACCGATCAAAAGCAAAGCGAAGAAAGCGATTTTCCGATGTGCAGTGTGTTGGGGGAGTGGGGAACCAGTGGGGTCTAGGATCAGATTGGATAGGATGGCATCGGATGGCATCGGATTGAATCGGATCGGATCGGTGCAGTGCATCCATCAGAGCAGCGCCATGAGTCAGTCAGTCAGTCATTTAGTTAGTTAGTCAGTCAGTTATTAAATGTGACCATAAGAAATAGAAACAACACCAGACACAGCCGGACGATAAGAGGGCAGTTGCGGGGAGTTATTACATAACAGCGGGCACAATTGCGAATTGCGAATGGGATTGTTGTGTGCGGCAGAGAAAATACGAATAAAAAAATTAAAATGGAAAGATGAGATGGCAAAAGAGGTGGACTCGTAAAAATCATAGCGCTGCTAAAGCGTAAAGGTAAAGAATTATAATTTTCCAATCAACTGATAAATTTTTAATGATGCGACGGGCCAGAGGACTTGAGGTTGGGATGGAATGGGAGGGAATAGGATGGGATGGGATCTCTAATATGTTGTCCAAAGTGCATGCTGGAATCCCACTGCGTTGTGCTGCTGATGATCATCGCCAGCTGGTAATGATCATGGTATAGACGTTTGGACATGTGTTAGAGACATTCCCATAGGTGTGATTGCCGGCGCGCAAGAACAAGAAAGACACCAAATTACTGTTACCTAGCTAGACGGCCACATGGGCGGGTGGCAAGTCGGCGGGGGTGGGGCTCTGAGCTGGAAAATCGACGGAAAAAGAGGCGCCGCAAATTCACTTGGTGACGAGTGACTAGTGAAGTGACTCCTCTGTCGCCATTGGCACTGGTCCAAAAAGTGGTTTCGTGATCGATGCGGGCTTTTGGTGCAACTAACTACCTGCTTGATTGCCACCACCTCCCCCTTCTCGCCAGGATGATGCACCCGGCTCTTCAGCTGAACATTTCCCATGCAAATATCCCCCGCGATTTATAATGAAGTTGTCTATCTGCCGGCGGTTTAAGCCGCGTCTTTAAAGCTTTGCCGTTTGAAAAGTGCTCAATCAATGAACGACATACCAAACAGCAAGTAAATCAAATCGTACAACTTTTGTATGAAAGGGCATCAAATAGGTGGCATTTCTCGACAAAATACTGTCAATGTTTAGAAGAACAGAAACATAACCTTTCTTTCTAAAGTTTTCTTAACCTGTCTTAAAGACTATATATTTGGACAACTATTTTCTTAGTTATGGAAAAAAAACTGAATATTTTTGGGCTAAAAATTAGAACCCGATTTTTTTTTCAAAAATATGATTATTTCATGAGCGGTTTTAGTCATAACTTGCCCGAAAAGCATCCCAGAGCAAAAAGAATGACTGATTTGTGCAGCTAATTACCAAGGCTAACTATCCCAATCACTTTTGTACGGATTTTCACAAAAAAAAAATTTCGCCATTTTTCGAATTTTCGGTAAGGGGTAACATCATAAATTTTTGCGAAAAATGGTCGAAATTTAACATTTTTAGGCTTGAATGCCACTTTATTGGAAATTTTATAACGAATTCAACGGTGTATGACATTCTATATTTGGACAAATATTTTCTTAGTTATGGACAAAAAACTGAATATATTTGGGCTAAAAATTAGAACCCGATATTTTTTTCAAAAATATGATTATTTCATGAGCGGTTTTAGTCATAACTTGCCCGAAAAGCATCCCAGAGCAAAAAGAATGACTGATTTGTGCAGCTAATTACCAAGGCTAACTATCCCAATCACTTTTGTACGGATTAAAAAAAAAAAAAATTTCGCCATTTTTCGCATTTTCGGTAAGGGGTAACATCATAAATTTTTGCGAAAAATTGTCGAAATTTAACATTTCTAGGCTTGAATGCCACTTTGTTGGAAATTTCATTACAAATTCAACGGTGTATGACATTCTATATTTGGACAACTATTTTCTTAGTTATGGACAAAAAACTGAATATTTTTGGGCTAAAAATTAGAACCCGATTTTTTTTTCAAAAATATGATTATTTCATGAGCGGTTTTAGTCATAACTTGCCCGAAAAGCATCCCAGAGCAAAAAGAATGACTGATTTGTGCAGCTAATTACCAAGGCTAACTATCCCAATCACTTTTGTACGGATTTTCAGAAAAAAAAAATTTCGCCATTTTTCGCATTTTCGGTAAGGGGTAACATCATAAATTTTTGCGAAAAATGGTCGAAATTTAACATTTTTAGGCTTGAATGCCACTTTATTGGAAATTTTATAACGAATTTAACGGTGTATGGCATTCTATATTTGGACAACTATTTTCTTAGTTATGGACAAAAAACTGAATATTTTTGGGCTAAAAATTAGAACCCGATTTTTTTTTTCAAAAATATGATTATTTCATGAGCGGTTTTAGTTATAACTTGCCCGAAAAGCATCCCAGAGCAAAAAGAATGACTGATTTGTGCAGCTAATTACCAAGGCTAACTATCCCAATCACTATTGTACGGATTTTCACAAAAAAAAAATTTCGCCATTTTTCGCATTTTCGGTAAGGGGTAACATCATAAATTTTTGCGAAAAATTGTCAAAATTTTACATTTCTAGGCTTGAATGCCACTTTGTTGGAAATTTCATTACGAATTCAACGGTGTATGACATTCTATATTTGGACCACTATTTTCTTAGTTATGAAC